CGTCATATTCAAGCATCATGCTTCTGGATCCACATCTCTGACATGTTTATGTTCAAACTATACATCTTAAATTTGATAACTAATGGGAACTGTGCCATGCATGGCTTGTTTTTTTCAAAATTTTATTCAAAATAGACAACTGGTGGCCATGTTATTTTTTTTTTTATGGGAGACATTTTTTGGACATGTCAGAGATTTTGTTTAAAGTTGGTAAATACAAAGATGATACAAATTCGTGTTAGATTATCATGTCCTTGACAGTCACTTTTTAATTGCAGTTTATCATCATAATGACTTACGTTGACTACGTACCAGTTTACTATAATGACTACCAATACCCACCGACGGGTGAAGTGATTGGATGGCTGTGTGCAGCTGCATCAATGGTCATGATACCACTAGTGATGGTCCAGGAATATTGTGTCAATGGTGTGGGAGATGGATTTATAGAGGTAGGTTTGATATTGTCTTACAGTTATACTGTGATGTGCATGGTGTTGTATATGCCTGTGCATTCACTTCCTCTTCCTCAGATGTCAATAGTTAATTAGTGTCAGATGGGATTTGGCTACAACAAATTGTAATTTTTATTACTGATGTGTCAGACAAATTAGAATGAGAAAATGCTCGCAGTCTAAAAATTTCATTCATAGGCAGGTAAATTAATCATCTGGAACAAAAACAATTTTCCTAAATATACTGTCTGAATTTTTTCTTTATTTTTTTGGAAAAAGACACGAAAGATAAAAAAAAAAAAATACTAACAGCTTCTAATTAAAAAATGATAATTCAGATTATAGAATTTAATATAGTTAGATCCTTGTGAAACTACTGTTTACATTTCAGTAACCTATCACAAGTAAACACGCTGCTGGTAACACAGACTGCAAAGTTTTTTCATTATATCCTTGCAATTAAGTCGTGCTGACTGTATGAGCAGTGTTATAATTATTTAACATTTTTCTACTTTTTCAGCGTGTCAGGTCGCTGCTTGTACCCACACCAGACTGGGGTCCTGCTTTACCCCAGTATCGTACAGGTAGATATGCTCCCATTAATGAAAAACCAGCATCTTATCACCCAATGGAACAATTCAAAAGCAATGGCACAAACACAGGAAAAGATTCCGAATTTAACGATATTTCTTCTTATTCCACCAAGATTTAATTGTCATGAATATATTATTTTCACAAACTAACACTTTTTTTTCTCGATAAAACACAGCACCCTTGATTTAATTTCCTGAAGTATATATTATTAAGTACACATTATTTAAAAAGTTCTAAGTTTTGTATTCATTTCTATTTCTATAAATATCCGATTTTTTTTACTAAACATTCATATGCGAGATCTCCAATGCTTTACAATTAGATACTTGTTGTTGTTGTTAGATGTTGTTGGTGGCCTTTTAGTTGAATCGGTTGGATGTGTATCTTCAGAATTCAGAATATTAAATTGTAATAATTGTATTTTTATAATTAGCTAGTATGTGCTTAATGTGAAGTGTCCTCTCATATTTGAGAACGTTATAATTATGAAACGGTCACGTGGAATAGAATAAATCATATTGTATCACTAAGTTTATTAAAATCACACCAACATTCCACTTTTTGTGTCACTCTGAGCTGCATTTGGTCATTGAAATGGAATATTTTAATAGAACAATTACAGACAGTCATAGATTAAATTGTGGGCAGGACAGATCTACATAACCAAACCAATATTCCACCTTTATTGCGTCAGCACATTGAAAATTGGAACAAGATAAACACTAACCTGGTTATCAACAACTTCAGAAATTTGTGTCAAATACTTGTACCATATTGTATCAGTTAATCATTAAATAATTTGTATATAAGGGAGAGGGCTGATAATTTATTTTATCAACTAAGTAATACATTGTATAAAGTTATTACAAGAATATTGTAAGGGTATGCAAAAAAGCAGTATGGTGATCGTATAATAATGTTTTATATTTACATATCAATCGAATGTCTATTTTGATCTTTTTTTCTCAGTATTTATCTGCCTTGGACAATGATTTACAATGATTCATATGGTCAGTTTTTAATGAACTGTTGAGATCTATATATATAATATATGATATATACGGTAATAGAGGAATTAATACACAACTACATGAATATTGAAACTTAACAGCACAAGCATACATTATAAACTGCAGTGAATTATTAAAGATAAAGCTCCTGATGAGTGAGGTACTTGTACCTTATGAAACAGTGCTGTTGAGTTTCAATATTCATGTAGTTGTGTATTCATTCCTCTATTACCATGTATATTATATATGTATATGTATTAATCCTCTATTACCGTATTTATGCGCTCTACATATACATTGTATTGAGCACTTTTGTTTTGGAATAATCAACTCGCACATCTAGACTATAATATATGATATATATACATATATTATATATATATATATAAACTAGTGATTTTTGTTTATACCATATTATCACACCTTTGTATTGCTGTGGCAGCATTATTAGTACACTAAAAAAACGGGTATATAGAAGTACTGGGACTGGTAAATAATACATAGAATGTAGTTGTCTTGGTTATTACTCCATATATCCAGACGTGTCTGGTAATGACTCTTCATCTGTGGTATATGAATGAATATTCACACTGCTGATGAAGACCAATGGCCAAAATGTCTATTGATTAATTACCATGAATTTTAAAATATTTGTTTTATACTTTATGAAATACATATGCCTTAATTTGTTTCACAATAGTTGATTTTCCGTTAATGCAAGATCCTGCACAGTGCATGAAAGGTGTGGATCAAACTCCTCCTGCAAAAATTGAATGATTTGAACTTTCATTTTTTTGTGGTTCAAGGTTGATATGCCGATCTTTTAGAGAGGAATATGGCATTGAGATCATAAAATGATCATAAAATATTTATAGTACATCATTAAGTGTCAAAATACCTAACAAATATTTTAGCGTTTGTCGCACGTGATGACCTTTTAAGCATAATGTGGGATCTAGCAGTGATTGTCTATTGGAAATACTTTTTCTGATGTGAAACTATTGACTAGAAAGTTAATGTAAAATTTCGCAAATAATCAATGCAATAAATTATTAATTTCTTCATCTGAAAAGATATTTGTGTTTATTTTATTAAATGCTATGTGTTTTGTCATACCTGGTGGTGTATTTAATAATATGAGGTTATTCAAAATATACCGTGCATTGTACAATACGGTTAGTGTTTGTTTCAAATAACGTAACTAGGATTGAGGACCTTATTGTTCATGAGGATTATGATTCAGACAAATGAGTAAATAAAAACTAGGAGTGACAGACTAATTTAAAAATTACTGCATCCAAGCTAGTCTACTTCGTCATTTATCATTGCCAATTTCTTACACTATAATAGTATAATTCTTCAACGAAGTAGGTACTAGTAGTCCGCATTTTTAGAAGCAAAGCTAACACGTACACGTACAACGGCAAATAACAAATTCCTCTCTAATAAACTTTCTGGTGCTTTACTGGAAAATGCGTGCCGAGAACATTTGCACAATGCATTAAATAAAATGTAGGTAATATTGCGTACACGTCATTGTAAAAGACTGAATATTTGGGAATATCGTGTTAACTAATATTGTGGAACATCAAACGTAAAAGGTGTATTAAATAAAGTGTGGATATCATTGTGTACGTGTCATTGTAAAAGTCGGAATATTTGGGAACATGTTAACTTCGAACGTGACATGTGAAATGTAGAAGATAACATCCAGTAGGGATCATTTACATGGTATAGAATAAGTATTATAGTGTCAAATCAAAATGAGTTGAGATAAAATCACAAACAATAATGTTGATGTATATGATACTGTACTCAAACACTTATTTATGTAGTACTGGGGGAAAATGTTGAATACACTGCTGTATTGTTACTGAAAATACATAATTATTTAAATTATTTAATTGACAAAAATAACAATTATAACAAGTTGTGTATATGCAACTGGAATACTAATTAATTAATCGAGGATGACAGCAACGGGACTGCTCATATATACTGATTAACTGTCGTTCTTCCGACCTTCAACAATTGCGTAATTTTTTCATTTCCTTGAAAACCAGTAGCCTGAATGTTTTGATGTATGCAAGTACCTTGGGTGGATCTCTATCATATTTTGTGTCAGTATTTTATTTTGTTATTTTGGTCAAAAACGACGAGTATTTGAAAACTATCATTTAATTTGATCTGATACGTGGTATGTAGGCATCGTGGTTCAATCTGTTATATTCTCATTCTGTGATATCAACTGTTCTCTATTTTTAGTAAATATTTTGTCATGTTTGGTTTAATTAAAAAGATACATGGCCATTCCTGGTGTTTGTGGAATAACCAATAGGAGGGAACTAGAAGAGAAACAGCGACAGTTATGTACAACGTCAAGTAAAATAATGACAATCTTATAAAGAACATGACACATCTGGTGTTTGCAAGTTGAACTTCCACGTGTTGTACAGTCGCCAAGATACACATAAAAACACAGGTGCTCATGATATTGCTAGGTTATTGTATTTTGTTTGCAAATAAAGATATGATAGTATTACTAGTAGTTTCTGCAATGTTACGAGTTACCTTTTGTATCAGTATTTCAGAAACTTATACTTTGAAATATACATTCAAAATATACAAAGAACGTCCAAAATTTAAGAACTTTCACTGTGCATATGTGTCGGCGCAATTCTATTAATAATTATTAATAATGAGTCCCTACGCATGCAGACTTCATCAGTTTTTCGCCATGTTTGTTAACCTAAGGATTTCATTCACTGTAACCAGACTGTTGGCGTTACCATCCATCCCAATTGTTGCACTACTACTGCTTATTACTAAACAGGTAATCAGATCTGATATTTTCACATGAATTCGGGAGGCTAGAAATCGCCCGTTTCCTGGGTGATATACATTTATAGTACACAAGCATGTTTAAATTGCCTGAACTATTATGTAATAAAACAACTCTTTGCAAATGTTTCTTCCTACTGCAATGCACAACTCGTTTATGCATTATTTCAGTATTTTATCCCTCTGATATGATATTGTATTGATTTTGTATATTTTGATAATAATAATGTGCAGTTTGGGTTGCTAGTTTGCATTTTACCATTAACACTATAATGTTTGGTGTACAGCAAATTCGGCAGGATTTCCTCATCAACATTCTCCAGAATGGCCTGCTGCAGAGACCCATGTGGTAGGTTCAATAATTCAGAAGGCTGTAAGAAATTGTCCAGAAACTGTTGTGAAATTGGAGGATACAGATATAGTGAGTTTGATTGACACTGGAGCGGAAGTGTCAACCATTACAGATGGATTTTTCAATGAGCATTTCGCTTGTGATAGAGACCTTGTTGTCGTATTTTGGTTGATCCACAGTTCTGCTTCACTGGGATTAGAAATCCCCTACATTGGTTATGTGGAGCTTCAGTGACAGTATTTAACATGAGGTTCAAGGTCTTGGCTATCTGGTTATAAAGATCCGGTCAATACCCCAGTTGAAGACAGAAAAATAAGGATTACTGGTGTGCTTTGATCAAATGTATTTAGATAACATTAAGAAAAAACTTGTTTATCAGTATGGTGATAGTTACAGAGAAAATTTTCAAAGTCTTTAAGTAGTAGTGATGTCCAGACTATGCATGCTGTTGAGTTGTATTGACCAGTAGTGATGAACCAATAGACATTTGCTACTATTTCTGAGGTTAGGTGTGTTTGTGTTGCCTGTAGAATACCTATTTTAATACCAGCTCCCTCACTTAATGTTATTGAAGGTTCTGTTCATCCTGCTGCCAAATGGCAAGTGTACCATGCTTTGCATGACAATCTTCAGGCTCATGTTGATGAGTGAATTTAGAGTGACATATGTGTTCCCAGGGTTCCCATGCAAGTTGCTAACTGCTGTGAATCAGATGTTGATATTTACTTACTACCTCATACACCAGTTGGCATAGCTCAGTCTGCCACTCTAGAGCCTACAGTCGAATTACATACAATCAGCGAGAGTTCTGTGCATGTGCAGGTGGTACCTGAAAGAGAGACGCATTCTTCTGTAGTTAAAGATATAGTATCAAAGATAGATATTGGTCAGCACAATGATGCAGAACTGAGATACTTGTATGATGTGATAGGCAGATATAGCCATGTTTTTAAAAAGCATGACAATGATATTGGGTCGTGTGATTTGGCTGAACATAGAATAGCCACAGTAGATGATGTGCCAGTAAAGATATCTTACCGAAGGTTCCCCTATCAGTGGGATGAGGTGAAAAAGTACCTATGCATGTCTTTGGAACTCAGTATAATAAGACAGTCATGCAGTCCTTATGCCTCTCTTGTGGGAAAATGATGGAAGTTTGTTTGTGTTGACTATCGTGTACCATACAGATGCATACACTCGCCCAGAATTGATGAAGCATTAGACATATTGAGTGAGGCTAGGCACTTTTGCAGCCTTGACTCGGCTCATGTCATTCATCAGTTACCAGTTGTGGTGAAGGATATAGAAAAAACTGCTTTTCTCTCATGCTCAGGCGGCGACCACTACGAGTATGTATAGATGCCCGCAGGCTTGTCAGGCGCTCTGGAGATTTTCATGAAATTAATGGTGTTTGGTGATCAGAATTTCCTGATGCTACTTGTTTATTTGGGTGATATTCTTGTATTTGGGTCGACATTTGAAGTAACACTTCAACATCTAGAAATGGTTCTTTCACACCTGACAAAACTCAATCTAAAATTAAAACCAAGCAAGTGTTATCTATAACTATTTCGGTCCTTTACCCGAGAAGGTTGGAGCTGTACAGCATTTGCCAAGAACTCAAACTGAGCATTTTTCCGGATATAACAAGAGGTTTATACCAAAAATTACGCTAAATCAGCCGCACTCTGGAAGAACCTACTTACAAAACCTGATAACATATCCAGTCAGAAAACTATTATGTCAAGTCTAACCTACATCGCCAGATCACAGAATCAATGGAATCAGTCATGTGAGGATTTGTTTCTCTGTTTAAAACAAGCTCTTGTATCGCCACCTGTGATTTTAAATCACCCTCTATCTCGGAGACTGATGCCAGTTAGAGGTAGTATTATCACAGCAACAGGGTTACAAAGTAGTAGTCCTGGGTTATGGGTCATTAAGCTGCCGAGAAAATTACAGTGCTAATTAGAAGTCAATGTTATTAACCGAGTATGCTAACTGAAGTCACTTCTAGCTGTAAATGAGATGTACAATGGCCAAAGCAGGGAAACGATTGTATCCAACAATGGGTTCCCTAGTTGATTCCAGACCGCTTGAGATATTAGCTATGGATTTTACAGTTCTGGAACCCAGCTCAACCAGTATTGAAAATGTTCTTGTTATGACGGATGTGTTCTGTAAATTTACCCAGACTATTCCCACAAAAGACCAAAAGGGTATAACAGATGCCCGTGAACTTGTCCGTGATTGGTTCACACGATTTGGTGCGCCTCAACGTTTTTAAGAATTCTGTAAAATTTACGATGTGAGAAAGAGCAATACCACATCAAACCATACCACCCTGAGGGCAATGATCAATGTGAAAGATTTAATCATATTCTCAATGACCGTTTTGCACTGCCAGCTAAGGAACAGACATAGCCGGAGTACTTACCTGAGCTTACATATGCTTACAATATTACTCCACATCCTTCTACTGGCTATTCACCACATTATCTTTTTGTTGGGAGAGAACCAGATGGTGAAGATAATGAAAACTAGATGGAGGAGTGGGTTGTAGAACACCAGAAAAGGCTGCCTGAGGCCTTCGCTGAGTGCCTCAGAGAGCACAGAGAAATAGGCTCTGAGACGAATAGCCAGAAATAATTCCAAGGCTGATATAACTGATTTATCTATCTATTGGTGACTCGGTATTCCTTAGAAACTTGGCTGTTAAAGGACGTAATAAAATCTAGAACAAATCTGATTCTGAACATTTTCATGTAGGTTAGATACAGGAGGTCACACCTATTATCACACCAAATGAATCATTCTCCTTAGCTTTAAGGCAGTCTTTTCTGTGTTTGATCTCCCAATGTTTGATATACGGACAGCATATCCCGTCTGAGTGTGTTTACCTTGCTCACTTTGAAACATGTGCAAAGAACTAAGAAATTGATTCATCCCTTGTACTGTACCAACATGAAATGATAAACAAAAAATGTCGGAAAACCTGTTTCATGTGTCAGAATAAGAAACACTTGTTTTAAAACATGACACATCTAAACTGTGGCTAGGTGATTGGATTGTGGACAAGAGATTATATCTCGCAATTGTGTGAAATATTACTGTGTATTTTTAATAAGATATGATTAACCTGTTAATCACTATCATAGCATAGACATGTGTATTCTACACACATCACACAATATTTATAAACGGATTGGGTTAAGGCATATGCTTGTTTTTTTATGATTAATAAATACTCATTAACTCTGGACAAGTCAATGTAAAAGTACATGGGGCTGACAGGATAAGTGTTAATGTACCGAATACCTGCAATTTGGGTTAATAATCATTTGCTGATAGACCAACTAAAAATACAATTCTATGACGAAAAGAGATGTAGATAACCTTATTTGTAGAGTCTTTCAGGAAAATCAGCACCAGGCCTGTGAATAAAAGCGAAAACATTGTTTTGGAGATATCTCACTTTTACATGTGAAGTCAAGAAAGTGTCCAGTTTCCGGTTCAGCAATGGAATGGAAAATTTATTTGGATAAAAAGGGAGTCGATGGATACATTGTACACGAATTTTTCTAGTTCATAAAGATTGTCTGTGAGTTGCAAATATTGGCAATATTGTTTTTTGTGAAAGGCGGTAAAGACATGTATTAGAAGCTGCCATTATATTGAGTGTCCCTTCTCTGGAAAAGGAAAAGTACCAAACAATATCAGAAAATCAGAAAAGATTCATTGGACGTTGTATGAAGTAGAACAGGAATATTATCAGAAAAGTCGGACAAGTTGAGTTGAATGAAAAGGCAGAATGTTTGATGACCATGGAAAAGCAGATATGAAAGCCGGGAAATTTTCTTTTGAAAGTTTTGAAATTTTTCTAGAAATTTTCTTCGCGAGACGTCAAAGTAATCTGGGAGTTATTGTTCTGAATGTGGAGAGAATATCTGAAATGTGAATCAAGGAGTTTGGGATGGTGGTAAAGCCAGCTAGGAAGTCCTGCAAGTTTCCTGGAAAGGCGAAAAAAAACAACAACAATCAGGTAGTTTCATTTTCACTTTCGTCAAAAACTATCAATATTATGTAGTCAAAATTATGGTCAAAATTATAAACGGAAACATAACCTGTGTGAAACCAATACTGGATTTCTATTTTCTACATCCGATATGAGAAACAGTGAAGTAAAGAAATAATGTATTGTATGGCTTTGTTAGTTTTTTTCCCAAAGGAATGGTAAAATACAAGCACTTTACTAAACGTGTTTATAAAACATTTTTAGATAAATAAGTAATTACCAAAATATTTTGATTTTGTTGATTTATCATGAAATAAATATGCTCTGCAAAATTTGTAAAGCGAAATCTCCTAACATTAATTAACATTAGACATTTAAAACATATATAGAATATGGTATACGGCTCGTAAGACGTTCATTCAGGCGTGCGACAACAAGACAAATGTAAGCTCGAGAAAAATGAATTGTATTTCATATAACAATCTTCAAATTCGGAATGCGTATCTACTCTGCAGGGGTTCTATGTTGCATCTTTATTTTTTGGGAATGTTTGAGCTAATTGGTGACCATCACTTTCAATGTGAACCAATTTTTTAGTACGACTTTAAAACATTTCCATATTATGGAGTGTATAACTCCGATTGGTCTGCAATTTTGTATGTGTATTCCACTGTGAAGATGTTTTTATTCATACATATATCACATCGCTTGGTCACGTGGCTTAATGCACATGGTCATCTGTCTTCATTAGCAGGCCGTAGCCAGCAATTTTGAATAGAGGGTTCGAAAACAACAATAATATATTTGCTGTGAAACGTACATTTTTTTAATTTTTAAAAGGAAAAAGAGTGAATTCTTTGGTATCTTAGAGCTCTGTTACTGACATTTTTATATTGTCGGTTTTAAATTTAATTGGCTTACTTTGTGTTACGTTGTTAAGTTATTTCACACGACATCTTTAACTATTTTACCATTTTTAGAGAAGGGGGTTCCTGAGCTAGCGCCCACCCACCCACAGACAAACACACACACACCCTAGACCCATTACGACAAATTGTTATACACAAAAAAGACAAGATTGTGCGCATTATTGTCTAATCCTTTTAAGGTAGAATGCTACTCACAAGTTGTTTCACTTTTCGCAGATAATAGCGCACATAAATTCAAACGTATTATTGCAATACTACAAAATCATTGATCTAACGGTATTTTTGTGTATCCGCCTAACTCAATACTAAGTTTATGGCGAAAACTTGCTTTGAAATTCCAATGAAGTATCTCTCAGGTTCTAATACTACTCTTATTTTTCCAGTAAGTACACAGCCTGGATGATTGTGAAATTGAGGCATGCCATTCTTGCTGACAACAATCTTTTATTCCTTGAATGAATATCCCTAAGAAATTTGCAGTATCCCAAACTTGTTGACAATGCTAAAACCATATTTGAACAGGAGATTTTTTTTCATGTGGGTTGCCCAAGTAAGTCTGCCGGTCTCGTCTAATCGTTTAAGCATTATATAACATGTTTTGAGCTGGTACCGGCTATTTTCAAGTAATTTCAACCAATATGAGATACACGTTTGAAATAACACAGCATATTCATGA